ATGAAACTTTATTTTATTTTTATTTATTTATTTATTTATTTATTTTGCCAAAGGGTGTGTGCACTTTCCAGAGAGAGACAGTAAGAGGGAAAGTGAGAAATCACCCCCTAGGGGGAAATGGCCACACTGCACTCTCATCCCCTCCATTCTGCCTTCTGGATTTTGGGCACATATGCATACACCCTCGGCATCATTCTGAAGCCACCGGATCCAGGATTTGGATCATGGTCAGTCGTGTGAGTCCAATGCCTTAACCACCATGTAACCTGGTGGTCCTGAAGATCTAGTTTCTGACACGGGGAAAAAAAATAGCTCTGTGAACTTGACACAGTTACTTTGCCTCTCTGTGCCTCAGATCCTCAGTTGAGAAATGTGAGGGCGCTCTAGTGTGATGTATTATATTAATAGTATGTGTCAAAAGTTAAGAACTTTGAAACAGAGCACATCTGGGCTAGAATTCTGCCTCTTCCTCGTTTGTTACCTGGGGCAAGTACTGAAGTTTCCTTCAATTTTCTCCTCTGTAAACTAAGAAGCTTAACATTTACCACATGAGGTAGCATAGGTGTAAATCTGATGTGTATAAAGCACATAAGAGACATTCAATTAACTTAGTTCTTTTCCTTTTCTCCTAAAAAGATTATCTTCCCTGCCTATCACAAAAGATTATTTATGAAGACATTTGCACAATGTAAAATGCTATTCTATAGAAGAACAGCTTCTCTTTGAACCAACTTGATTATTTTTGTTTCAAGGAACCTGTGCAAAATTTTCACATAGAACAGAAGCTCAGCACAGGATTAGTGTATTCAGGAACAAGGCAGTCTCTTGATCAAGGGGCAAGGAGATCCAGAGCTTGGGCAAAATACATACTTTGAGCTGCCTTTAAAAGCCCCACAGTTTTGGGACCAGCGGCTGGTGTAATGGATATGTTGCTGGACTCCCATGTAACCAACTGCGGTTCAAGTCCTGGACCCGGTGGCTTAAACTCACGCTGGGTGCGTGAGCTTGCGTGCCTAAGATCCTAAGAGGAGAATGGAGGAGAAGGGATTGTGGCGTAGCCATCCTCCCTGGGGGGTGATTTCTTGCTTTCTGTCTCTCTGTCCCTCTCTGTCTGTCTGGCGAGTGCACGTGCCCTATAGCAAAAACCTCTCCAAAAACAAAAACCAACCAAACAAAAAACCCTTCACAGATTTTAGGAAAATATAAGGTTAAAACAATGTTTTTAAGGAAGCATTTTTCTTGTAGAAAGAGACTTTATGATCCCCCATTGACAAATCATGAACTAGAATGAGATCTACTCCTCTGAAACTCAATTTTTCTGTCAACTATAGGTTGTTTTCTTTCTTTTTATTTCTTTCTTTCTTCCTTCCTTCCTTCCTTCCTTCCTTCCTTCCTTCCTTCCTTCCTTCCTTCTCTCTCTCTCTCTCTTTCTCTCTCTCTTTCTTTCTTTCTTTCTTTCTTTCTCTCTCTCTTCTTTCCTTCCTTCCTTTCTCCTCTTTGTTCTTTTTTTTTAATTTTTTTTTTAACCATGCCAGTCTATCTCTGTGACTCTTTCATATGAAGACATTCCTCTTTTCTTGATTTTTAACATCTACTTCTTTGTTTACTATTGCTGGTGTTTTCAACTACTTTTGCTATGTCCTTTATACAGCCAGTATATTTTTCATGCTCATCGTATTCATGCATACTGCACAATATCTCACATTCTGACAATTCTGTATTCTTACCTAAGTCCTTCACCTTCTGAAGATTTGTTATACCGGACAGTGGTGTCTCCTCTTAAGCTGTCACAATGGCAAGTACAGATGGAGAGTCACATCATCATGTTCTTCTGTCTGTCCCTAAGTGTCCCTGCTGCTAGTCTCTTGAGCTCATGCCTAGGATGAGAATTAGCAAAGGGATTTTTATTGGAAACAAAATGGACAGCCTTCTTGTAGTGCTGTAGTTCCACTGGGAGTGATTAAAATCGCCAAGCTCTTGCTGGAGGCAAATCCACACATATACGTGCATTCATGCCGACCAAAACATATGTTCACATTTCTCTTTCCAAATTCTTGCTAGCCCCAGATGACATATATCTATCTATTCTGTGATTCTTAGTTTTGGGGACATGTCAGTTACGGAACATCTAAATGTGTATACTCATTCTCAGGTGAGGACAATTTACTCAAAGGGATGGTAACTGGTTTGTGGGAAATCAAGAACACCATAGCTGTTGCAATGCTGTATGACCCTTCAAAGGGCCTCAGTCCATAAAAGATATAGAGTGGAAGTCAGTAGATGGCGTAGTGATTAAGGTGATGAATTCTCATATGGCTGACCATGGTTCAAGTCCTGGACCTGGTGGCTTGAAATTCATGCCTGGTGCATAGGTGTATACCCAAAATCCCAGGAGGAGAATGGAGGAGAAGGGACTGCTGTGTGGCCATCCCTCCTTGGGGATGATTTCTTACTTTCTCTTTCTCTCTCTCTCTCTCTCTCTGTGTGTCTCTCCAGTGAGTTTATGCACTCTATGGCAAAAACCTAAAAAAACAATAAAATATAGAGTGTACCTTTGTTACAAAACTGTCATATGTATGGGGCAGTTAGAAAAGTACTTGTGATCGGCAGGTGGCGTAGTGGTTAAGGATGCTGGACTCCGACATGACAGACAACTGTTCAAGTCCTGAACCTGGCAGCAAGTTTTTAAAGGGAGGAACTTTTAAAAAGGTTGAAAAATGGGGCCAGCAGGTGGCATGGTGGTTAAGGCATTGGACTCCCATGTAACCAGCCATGGTTCAATTCCCAGATCTGGCAGTTTGAAAATCATGCCAGGCATTTGAGCCTGCATGCCTGAAATTCTAAGAGGAGAATAGAGGAGAAGGGATTACAGTGTGGCCATACTCCCTTGGGGGGTAATTTCTCACTTTCCCTCTCTCTGTCTCTTTCCTGTATGGCAGAAATGAAACAAAACAAGTTGAAAACAACCTTTCAGGCTGACCCTGTAGGGGGATGGTCACACTGCAATCCCTTCTCCTCCACACTCCTCTTGGAAGGTGGGGCACACATGTACACAGTAGTTCAGTGCTGTGCATAGAAAGCCACATCACACGTGGTCCACCACAGTTCAAATCCCAGCCCTAGTAGCTGGGAAGACAAGTGCATGCCTGCCCCAAATCCTGACAGGATGAAAAGCTGGAGAAAATAATTGTCATGTGACCATGCCCCATTGTGCGGTGCTTTCTCTCTGTCTTTCTGGTGAGTGCATATACCTCTTTCATAAAAATTAAAGGAAAATGGAAGCACTGACATGATTTTGAGTCTTGGTTCAATGTCTGTATTGTACGGAGGGAGGATCACAAATTTGTATCACCTACTAGGACCTCTTGGCTAAATATTAATGTATCATAACAGTTGGGTGCTTTGTAAAATAGTTGTTCAATGTGTTGCAATTTCCTGAGTCTCCTCATTTTTCTTGGCCAATTTTCAAATATCTATGGGAGAGAGAAGGATAGAATTTGAGGTGAGCTTGGAAGGAGAAGAGGATTCTCTTGGAACCCTTCTCTTAGGAGAGAGGTGTATTCCAATACAAATGGAATCTAAAGGCTCTTTCTTTTCTTTTTTTTCCCTCTCTTTTTGTTGGTGTGTGTTTTAGGTTTTGCCTCAGGGTTTGTGTGCTTGCCAGAGAGGAGCGAGAAAGAGAGAGGGAAAGTGAGATCACCTCCCAGGAGGGATAGTCACACTGCCATCCCTTCTTCTCTGTACTCCTCTCAGAATCTTGGACTTGCATGCATACATGCTTGGCATGATTTTCAAGCCACCAATCTGGGACTTGAACCACAGTCAGTCATGTGGAAATCCAGCCAGCTTAACTATCATGCCGCCTGTTGGTCCCTCTAGAGGCTCTTTCTAAATGACCCTGAACAGAATGTGTGTGTGTGTGTTTCCCTCTCACTATACAAAAAAATGGCCCTTGAAAGCATGAAAGGTATTTCTTAGGTAGCTGTCTTTTTTCATTTTAACTATAGTGACTTGTCTTCAATTTTCTATGCATACATAGACAAAATCTATAGTCTTGTTCCAGTTATAAAAACCCTGGGGTAAAATAAAAAGAAGGAACAGAAGAAAAGAGGTTCAGGTAAGTACTAAAAAAAAATGTGGGTTCTATCCAGATATATCTTCAAACAATACAAGTATTTCTGATAATAACTTTAGTGTAAAAAAAACAGTCAAATGCACATAAAACTGAAACACTTGGTCCGTGTATAGATTTGGTGACATATATATCTGACTTATCATAACTTAAAATATTCCTTTTCTTTTCATAATTGGTAAAATACAAAATTCTGCACTCAAAACATAAACTCAAGGTGTGTTTTTAATAACTGAGTGGAAATAAAGTCACAGAGAAAGTGTGTATGAAATAAATATGTCTATATTCTGTGTATATTCATGTTTAGGAATAGAGAGAACATAGGTTGAATGATTAATGTCAAGGGTGGTACTAACCTTCACAACTATCATCCTCGGAGCACTGATCATATTTCATTTTCATGACAAACTTGTGAGTAGCTAATGCTAGTTCCATATTGCAGCTGGTCGAAGTGAGGTAAGTATTGGCATAAGAATAACAGATAACATTGAAATAGCATGTAGGCTCTCAGTTTCAATCTTATACCCCAGTCCACAAACCTGATCACGCACATCATTCAATCTAATGCCTTCTGTTTGTTCTTCTTATATTCTCTCTAATAAAGCTGAGTAGCTATGAAGATATATGAAAGGTTTTTAAATGTTCATAGAAAATGCATATTATGAAAACGAGAAATGAGAAATGCATAGATGTCAAAACTTTTTACACCAATATAAATTTGCACTTTAATTCCTTGTTTCCATGAACTTTTTGAAGTCCCTGTGTACAGTCCAACGACCAAAAACAAAAGAGCTAACTGTTCTTACTCTTAAGCTAGTGATTTGAGAAAACGAACTCAGTTTTACACTTCCAGACCCAATTTAGCTGCTCAGCCCAGTTTACTGCTCTCAGAAGGCCCGAGCCTCCTCTGCAGTCTCCTCATGGCGGACTTCATCTCCTTGTTCCTCAGGGTATAAATCATAGGGTTCAGCATGGGGGTGATGACCGTGTTGTTGATGGATATGGCTGTGTCCATGGGCAGAGTAGTGAAAGGCCGGCAGTAGATGTAAACACAGGGGACGAAGTGGAGAGTCACCACCAGGATGTGGGAGGTGCAGGTAGAGAGGGCCTTGTTCCGACCCTCCCCAGAGTAGGATCTCAACATCACCAGAATGATGGTGTAGGATCCCAGGAGCAGAAAGAACCACAGCAGGGTCACCAGTCCATTGTTAGAGAGCAGAAGAAGCTCCAGAACAAAGGTATCTGTGCAGGCAAGTTTTACCACCTGAGGCACGTCACAGTAGAAGGCATCCAGGATATTGGGGCCACAAAAGGGGAGTGGCAGTATTAGAATTATCTGAACGATTGAATGCAAACCACCACCCACCCAGGAAGCTATCACCAAGGTCATCCACACCTGTCTTCTCATAATGGCCACATAGTGTAAGGGCTTGGCGATTGCAAGATATCTGTCATAGGCCATCACAGAGAGGAAAAAAATATCAGCCCCACCAGCAAAGTGGAAAAAAAAGATCTGTGCCATGCAGCCATTGTAAGAGATGGTTCTCCTCTCAGATAAAAGATCTACCAGGAATTTGGGGACAGTGATAGATGAAAAAACGATGTCCAGGACTGATTTGTTTCGCAGGAGAAAGTACATAGGCGTATGGAGGCGAGACTCACAGGTGATGGTGACCACAATGAGGGCATTTCCCAGCACAGTTGTCACATACACAGCAAGAAAGACTATGAAGAAGAAGAGCTCCAGTTCCCGGAATTGAGTAAGTGCTAGAAAGACAAACTCCCTCACATTGGTCTCGTTGATTTGGTTCATGACGGGGTTGACCCTCTTGCAGGTCTACCTTTGGAGCAGATATGTTAGGGTTAGGAGTGTGGTGTCATGCAGTGGCATCATCGTTGATCATACATTGTTATAAGGCTCCCTCAAGCCTCCAGATAGTAATGATTACTCAGAAAAGTTGGTCTAGAGTTATGCCTTTGTGGTCTGGAAATTCTTTCTCCTGATGGTTCTATTTTCCTATTGGAAGTACCCTGGATTGACAAGAAGAACCATCACATTTTGATGTTTTTACTCTGATTTTAGAAAGAGAGGGATATGAACTGTGGTCATTTGACTCTGGCTTATCTTATCCTCAGTAAGAATGACTTCCTCATGGGGCCAACAGATGGCATGGTGGTTAAGGTTCTGGACTCCCACGTGGCTGACCATGGTTTGAGTCTTAGACCTGGCGGTTTGTTTTCTCACTTTCCCTCTCTGTGTGTTTCTCTCTGGTGAATTAAAATAATAATAATAATAAATAAAATAAAATAAATCTTAAGAAAAAAGAATGACTTCATCACATATGTGCAATGCTTTAGACTTTACCAGTGACTTTCATCTACAACATCTGATGAAAACATTGATTTTGATTTTTGTGAAGTCTCTGTGGTACTTTTAGAATGATTATAATTATCTTCATTCTATGTATGAAGAAATGAAAGCTCAGAACAGTTCACAACTTTCCTGCATAATTGAAAAGTTAGAGACCAGCTAGGTGCTTGATGGTTAAGGCAACTGGATCCCATGGCTGACTGAGCAGATTGAGTCTTGGACTGGCAGCTTGAAAAACATACTGGAGGGACCAGCAGTTAGCATAATGGCTATGTCGCTGGACTCCCATGTAGTCAACCGCGGATCAAGTCATGGACCCGGTGGCTTAAACTCACACCGGGCACATGTGCGTGTGTGCCCAAGATCCCAAGAGGAGAATGGAGGAGAAGGGATTGTGGCCTCTGGGGGGTGATTTCTCGCTTTCTATCTCTCTGTCTCTCTCTATCTCTCTGTCTCTCTCTCTCTGTCTGGCGAGCACACATGCCCTATAGCAAAAACCTCTTCAAAAAAAAAAAAAGAAAGAAAAACATACTGGGATGGGACCAGCAGTTAGTGTAATGGCTATGTCTCTGAACCGCCATGTAGTCGACCACAGTTAGCATCCTGGACCCGGTGGCTTAAACTCATGCCGTGTGCATGTGCATGCATGCGCAAGATCCTGAGGGGAGAATGGAGGAGAAGGGATTGGGGTGGGGTCATCCTTCTTGGAGGGTGATTTCTCGCTGTCTCTCTGTTTTTCTGGCAAGGACACATGTCCTCTAGCAAAAACCTTTAAAGCAAAACAAAACACACCAAAAAACCCACACTGGGTGTATGTACACGTATGCCCAAAACCCCAAAGGAGAAATGGAGGAGAAGAGATTGAATCGTGATCATCCCCCATAGGGGGTCTCTTTTCTTGTCTCTTTCCTCCAAGTTCACGTGCCCTCAAGGAAAAAAAAAAGTTAGTAAATATTGTCCCAAAGATTTTAATCCAATCATTTTTTGATCTGGCAAAGACTTCTTATTTGATAAAATTTTAGTTAGGATCTTCATACTCCTCTTTTTTTTTTTTTTAAGGTAACAAGCTTTATTTTTGTTAACTTTTTTTTTGACAAACTATTAGAGTGAAATTTATTCTATCTAATATTATTGTGTCCCTTTATAAATGAATCTAAGAGAAATATAATTTAGATTTTTATCTAGATAATAAACCCAAAGGTTCTTAGGAATAAGAAACAAAATCAAATGGTCAATAATGAAACCAGACTTAATGCATACATTTTATATACATATATAAAATCCACTGCTTTGTAACTAAATCTGAGGTTAGAATAATGCAATTGTTTTAACTAATATTTCAATCACATTTGACAGATTAAGATATTGGCTTATCAGAATTACAGTGAATAGATAAGGCTTCAACAGTTAATTACATAGCCTGATTGCTTAATTCTCATCCCCCTACTTAAGAGAAGAGAAAAATCAGGCCCTCATATATAACTCTCTCTGGCACCCTGGGAACCGGAAATTACTGTGGACACACAGGGACCTTGGTAGAGGAGAGAGCTACAATCATTGTTCAAAGTGCATTAAAATCTCACAGGAAAACTAATCATTAAAACATCACAGGACTGGAGGTTAAGGGAGCTGAATCCCACATGGCTAACTTTTGGGTTGGAGTCCTAGACCTAGTGGCTTAAAAATCAAGGAAAATGCATGTGTGGACATGCCCAAAGTTCCCAGAGGAGAATGGAGAAGAAAGGATTGCTGTGTGACTATTCCACTGGCGGGTTGATTTCTCACTTTCTCTCTCTTTGTCTGTCTTTCTCTCTCTCTCTTCAGCGAGTGCATGCACTGTATAAAAACAAACAAACAAACAAGCAAACAGACAAAATGTCACAGGACCTGAGATGATAGGTGACAGCCCAGCCTTCCTTACTTTAGGGGTGAAAAGAAAGGGGCATTTATTTTTCCAGATTAGACTGTGAATTGGTGAAAGAGAATTTTCCAGGTTAATTGACTCAGTACAGGGATTTTCTACTATTGCTAAATTATAGCTGGATATTTTCATCATATATCCAGCCATCAGAGAACAAAACTCTTGGTTTTTGCCATAGGGTGTATGCACTCATCAGACAGAAATAGAGAGAGACAGTGAAAGGGAAAGTGAGAAATCACCTTCTAGTGGGGATGGCCATACCACAATCCCTTCTATGTTCTCCCCTCAGGATTTTGGGCATATATGCACACGCAGCCAGCATGATTTTCAAGCTACTGAGTCCAGGACTCTAACCATGGCTGGTCATGTGGGAATCCAGCACCTTAACCACCATGCCACCTGCTAGCCCAGAGGATAAAACTCTTTCCAATAGGACAAAACACTTTCCAATAAGAATATCTATTTGTCCAAGGAGTCTCATAGTCTACATAGTTTTAAAACTTCAAAGACTTAAGATGAACCAAATCCAATTCACAGTAGAAAATAGCTGGTTGATATTTGAAGCAAAGGAATTATGTCTGAAGAAAATAGGTTACACTATAAGGAAGCAGACCGGATGAAAAAGGAACAGGTCATTTTCCTTTAAATAAAAATAAATGAAGCAAGGTCAACAGAAGAGGTTGTGTTTAAGGCACTGGACTCCCACGTGGTTGACTGCAGTTTGAGTCCCACACCCGGCAGCTTGAAACTCATACCAGGTGCATATGCGTGTGTGCTGAAATTGCAAGAAAAGAATGGAGGAGAAGGGATTGTGGCATGGCCATCTCCCTGGGAGATGATTTCTCACTTTCCCTTTGCCTTTCTCTTTGTCTCTCTCTGTCAAGTACACGCACCCATGGCAAAAACCTAAAAAAGACAAAACAAAACAAAACACAAATGAAGCATTCTGTAAATAACTTAGTTCTTAGGATTTCTTAGTTCTGCTAAAGCTGGATCCATTTTTTGGTTTCTTATGAGGGATTAGAATATACATAAAGTCTCCTAAATAAGAATCTTGGGATCTTCCTAAATCCCTGATGTTTCTGTCATTAATCATTTTATTACTGTGGATAAATGAATGATCTCTTTTATGAAGTTTTCCAACTAAAACATTTTCCATCGTTTTCTTATTTGTACATGTTTAAAGTATACAGCCCAATAAAAATCCTATTTTCATATGCCAGAATCCCTACTATTCTTATTAGCTCATTTTAAATAGCCAGGCAAAATTTTAAATCATGCTTTTGCATAAACATTTCATTATTGCTTAAAACAAATCCAGTAATATATTACCTAGAATTCATACTCTGAAGATTTTTACTGCCACCAAGCAAAAACAGAAAGCTTTGCAAATAGTATAATATATTTGGAATTATGTTGTTGCCTTTTATCAAGCATGTTTATGAGGAAGAGCATCCACCTTGGGATTGTATTCAGGGCAGAATCTGTTAGATTCTCACCATATGAGGTCCCCCCAAAGGGGGGTTGAATCTTCTATGAAATTGGAACATACAACTTACTTTGTGGTGGTGTTTTCTTTTGATATCTAGCACTTTTTACTGCCTGTCATTACATGTCTATTTGTTGTCACTCTTT